ATTTGCTTATTGAACTAACATTTAATAAAGCTTTTAGAACTTGGAAGTGACTTATGTTCTGGTGTGTCTGTCTCCTGTGTTTAATGAGATTTTTCCCCTGACACCTAGCATTTTAGGATTTGGCATGATTTAAAATTCATCAGTTCCCCAGTTAAATAGTGGTTGAATTTGTCTATGCATTGAGAGATTAAGCAATTTTCATATTATTTTGATTGCCAGTTGATGTTCATGAATGCATTCTGTCAATCTGCTCCCTGTCTGTCCTACATAGTGACTATTACAGTCTTTATATTATATGTTGTAGATGACCCCTGCTTCTTCTTCTTTGGTTATTAAGTGTTTGGGTTTGCTTAAAATGCTTTGGAAGGATTTTGTTGGTTTGGGTGCTGCAGTGATGCTCAGAGGTTGAAACAGTCTGTTGGTTGCCTCAGAGATGTTTTTGATATATGGGAGTTATCCTTTTCATAATTTGCAATAGGTTATGTAGCTGGGCACTTTTTAATGAAGTTATGCAGGTATCCATTATATTGGAAAACACTGTACAGATAGCGTGTTTCCTGTTTGTCGTATCACCGAAAATGTATCATCAGGTAGACATAATATCACGAAGGCAAAGACAGTGTTTTAGTACCTTTTTGGTGCCTTAAAGGTTAGGAACGGGAAACAAAACTAGCTTGGTCTAGTAGTTAAAGTGGATTTGAAGTTGGGAGACCATGAGTTCCAGTCCTGCTGCAGGCATGGAAGCTGGATGGGTGAGTTTGGATCAGTTATTTTCTCTCAGTCTTAGGAAGAAAGTACTGGCAAGCCACTTGCAAAAATGTTGCCAAAAAAACCCTGCAGAGACTTGCCCCTGGAATCACCAGAAGTCAGGGCTGACCAAATGGACCATCCCAACAACAAGATTAGGAATGGGAACAGGAAGCCTACGAAAGGCAATCTACTGTACTACCATTTCCGTTCTTAAAAATCCTCCCAACAATTCTCATCTCAAAATAGCTTGTAATCCTCCTATCAAAATTCAAAAGTAAAATGCCCCAAATTTGACAGGATAAGTATGTATGTATGGATTCATTTACTATGCTGGTCTTTGACTGTAATAAAGATTTGAGTAAATTGTATTTATTTATTTATTTATTTATTTATTTATTATGGCACATCAGATACTTTTTGGTGTTTGGGTTTTGTTTTGTTTTTTAGAGGGGGAATGGAAACAGTTTGTTATACACAGACTGCATTCTAACCTTATCTTTAAAAAAAACCCACACCCACTACTGAAAATCAGCCACTTTCCTACTGAATTTCTGAGAATGGGACATTCCTGAGAATGCTGGAGTAGCGTATGAAAAGTCACAAGCTGGCTGTGAATTGTTCACTTTTGTCTTATTGTAAAGCTACTTCAGGCCTTTAATAAGCATCGTAGGGCCCGCAATGGAAAAAGTGGACAGGTCCAAGTTGAAAACTAAATTTGATTAAATTTAAATTTAATCTGATTAATGAAAAGCTTCAGTGTGTTTTCCCCTTCTGTCACTTTAAAAGCTACAAGTCAGAGCAACTTTTGGAAGGGGACTCAAGGTTTTGTGTAGTTAAGTATGCCTATTTTATTTATAACTAATACACATAGTTGTGCACTGAAGATCAACAAAATAATGCTGTTGTTTTGGACAAATTCTAGATTGAAAAACAAGCTGAAATTGGAACTTTTGAACTGTGCATGCGTGCTTTATCAGTTATACAATATTTGGCATATTTATAGTATACAGCTAAATGCATACAAAACATTCCTTATTAGCCACTGCTAACCAGAAAATGGGGAGTGTACTATAAGTTTATGTGTGTTTTTTTGGATAAAACTATAGTTGATTACAAGGGCAATCAATTATAGCTTAAGAGCAAAACACTATACATTGAGCATTTGATTTTTTTTTTCCTTTTCCCTTCTACTTTCCCAACATGCCCTCTTACTACTCCAATTTGTTTTTAACTGTTTTCTTCCTAGGTAGGTAAGGTATTTTGTTTTGCTTCCAGACAAAATACTGAGGTTCTTCCACTCACTGTTTGTTTAAAAGAAATGACTATGTGGGGCCTAGATACATTTGTGTAAATGAAGATGAAATTAGAAGCTGGTATTTTGCTTTACAGCATGTCAACTTCTCATTTAAAATTTTTGTAAATTAAAATGATTTTTAAAAATAAAATCAGGCAGTGCAGGGAGTCATCCATAGGCACATTTGATTACCTAACCCTGCCTGAGGAATAGAAGAACTCTTATATAAAGTCGGATTATTTTCACATCTAAATGAGCACTTTCTACAATGGCTTTCTATGCTGTGTTTCATAACACACAACCTGATCCCTTTAACATTCCACAGGCTACTAACTAAGCAACATTCTGCATATAAATTAGGCATTCTTTTATCTGTGACCTTCCTCTTAAAACAAGAGATTGATGGTCGTGTCAAAAAAACTGGTGAGTTACTAGGAACCGTGATTTCACTCTGTATTTTACAAATGCTGAGTTCAAACGGTTTCAAATGTTCATAATTATTTTGTCAAATTTCCACCTTTTAGGGAGTTTTACATCCACTGTGAGTTTCCAGAACAGCAAGCTAATAAATTAACAGCACTATAATTTGAGTCAACTTTTAATAGAATTTTAAACTCCTCCCTGTGAATTTTATTGAACTTATACCCCACTGCAATTATACAACTCTCACTGTCAAGCTGACACCACTGGACAATGGCTCTTCCCGTTACAACTCATTTCAAGAGCTTCTGAAGTAAAACGCTGTCCGTGTCTTGATAAATAAATCTAAATTGAATCATTGTGAGCCCCAAAAGAGAACAAAAAGGTGGCCCTATCCAGGTGGAGGACATGAGCATACAGTATAAGATTTAGCTAAATGGAGGAATGATCTAACTTAGCATAAGGTCATTTTTTATACTGCCACAAATACTCCAAAATTGGTTTGCCTTAGTATAGTTTCCTTGTATCAATGAGACTCTCAAAGAAAAACATGGTTTTAAGTGTCAGGGTTAATTGAAAATGTTTTAAAAAGTATTTTTTAAATTTTTTTTTATTCCGCCTTTTTTATTTTTATAAATAACTCAAGGTGGTGAACATGCCTAATACTCCTTCCTCCTCCCATTTTTCCCACATCAACCCTGTGAGGTGAGTTGGGCTGAGAGAAAGTGACTGGCCCAAGGTCACCCAGCCGGCTTTCATGCCTAAGGCGGGACTAGATCTCAAGAGTCTCCTGGTTTCTAGCTTGGTGCCTTCACCACTAGACCAAACTGGCTCTCCAGTTACTCTTACTTAAAGTAAGTCAGACATCCAACAGAGGGAGGTGGATGGTGCAGGGAAGCTTATAGTATTTATTTGAAAAAGATCTTGTATTTTCATGACTTGAAGAAATTATCTGTTCATGTTTTTTTCACCATTTATTTTCTTGCTGCAGTGCGATATAACTAACGAGGTTTAAGAAAAAGACTGTACCAAACGTGTCTTCTTTTAAAATTATATTTGATAACAAATCTTAGTAACAGTACTAAAATCTACTAAAAATACAATTTCAAGTAAAAAATGGTCCCGATTAAAAAAATATTACAGTTCATATTTCTGAACTTCCTGAATGCTAAGCTACAAAATGCTTCAACTAAATTAAATTGCTTTAACCTAGTCTGCACTCTGAACATGGACTTTAAGTATCAAAGCCAGATAAATTGAACAAAATCAATTACAGTGCTTTCTTTCCAATTTCCCTTCAAGCATTTCATTTGTTTACAAAATGCAATCATTTTATACAGAAGACAAACACCCAGATCTTGCCCTGCAGCTAACAAAACAACCTCTTCATCCAACATTGCTTGGTAACTCACTCATACATAGCTGTCACTGAAAATATTTTGAATATCTTTTAAGAAACAATAACATGTAAACACTGATTAATCTGAGCTGAATTCTGCATAACTCTGAAAAAAAAGATAGAGGGGGAAAAAAGAGAATAAAATCAAATACTTGGCAGTATTTTCACCAAAAGCTCCTGAATATTTTAATCAGAGTTGACAATGTCTCATTTCAGCATAGTAATAATATATAATTATACCAGAGTCATGGTGGGGAGAGACTAATATGCTACTCCTTTATCTCTACAAACATTATTATAAGCAAGAAAAGAAAAACTGATACTCAAAAAATCAGTAAATGATCCCAAAACAGAGTTATCCACAACTTCCACAACAGTATCACAAAGCCCAGGTGGTACTGATGATGCCTCCATGACGGTTGCATGCTGCCCACATGAGACAGCCAATAAATACAAGGTCAACAAGGACATTTCCCCATCACAGATTCTAGTATTGCAACACACAAAATTAAACCAGAGAACTCCTTCATACAGGAAGCAATGACCTCATCGGCACCAGTCTCCAGGTATCACTATAGGCAGGACATGTTGACTTTTAAGTAGCATAAATTTTGTCTTTGTTTTAAAGTAATTAAAAAGCAAAACATGTGAGATAAATCTCCAATAGGTACCATCTCCTTTGTGAAAAGCTTGCCCTCCTTAGCCAAGGACATACTACCTTACATAACTAACCCATCAAGAAACTAAAATACAATTTTTCTTCTTGACGTCTAATAACAATATATTAAAACAAAATCAAGGGCTACATCTATCAGCTCCCTGGCAAGGGTTCTAGAACTTTCCAAGGTCTGTTGGATAGAAGCAGACCTCTTCACAGAAACTACACTGAAGAAAATACCTTACCCATTTTCCTTCGTCTCCAGCTCATCAAACCACTGTATCAGAGCAACTGCAGCTTTGTATGTCTCTGGATTTATCAGTGGCTCCTCAATAATTTGAGCAGGAATCTAGGGAGAAAAGAGAGGACAGTAAAGCCATCTCTGGTATTCTTACTCTATATAGGCCACTTCTCCACTGTAGGCAATGGAACAGAATGCAGAATCTGGTCCCTCAGCAAACGGATTTTAAACCCACTGCAGATGAAAAGGCCAGTCTTTAAATAAGATATAAATTCAACAGCCCTTCCTTGCAATTAATCCCTAGCAGATTCAGTCCCTGATTCTGGATAGACAACCATCTAACCATGAGATAACCATCATGACTAGCAGCACCTGAAGAAGACAGCAAAGCTCATCTAAAAACTTTCCTGGCATTAGCTGACCAAAACCAGTTTCTATATAAGCTGTGTGTTTCTCGAGACTTCCAAAAGAAGCTCTGTTAACTTTAGAAAAAAAAAAGTTCAAGATAACTACTGGGTTAATAACTCATCATGCTAAGTCATGATATGGTTTGTTTGGTTTCAGTTAAGTGCTGTATGTGAATCTAATCAGTATGATTTGTAAAACATACTTTATAGCTTAGTGATGTGTGAATCCAACGCATTCTTGTTTAATAAATCATGATGAAACATACTATGCCTAATACAATGTACACAGCCAGCTACTATGGGCTGCTGAATCAAAGCTCTTGTTCATAGATCTCCCCTCTCCACCCAAAAGGGCAAGGTTTAGATTGTGTTTAGACTTGGCAAGCAGCCATATTGCTGAAAAACTAGATGGACAACCAAATGTGACATAATATTCCCAAGTGCAAATATCCCAGGGCAAATATTAAATACCTCAAAAACTCAACAGATAAGAAAGAATTAATCTGTTGCAATCTACTCAAAGAGGAAGTTATTTTTAATCTTCTTGATTTACAGTACTAGCTTGTTGTGGTAAATTACTGGCAACTCCTGATTGAGCAATTTGTCCATCCATATCAAGTTTTTAAACAAGCAGTTTTTTTAAAAAAAGCAACCTTATTAAAACACTTTGTCTGAATATATGTTTTAAAACTAATTACAACTTGTTATTTCATATTACATTAAGATAGCAACTTCTTCCCAATGTTTTTTTTTTGTTGTTAAATCAGGAACATTTATTTTATTTATGCAATTTATCTACCACCTTAATCCTAGAGGGTTCTAGTTTGCAATATGACTTAAGTCATATTTATATATTATTTATTATTGTTCAACATTTGTAAATACAGTACTTTAAATGATTAAAACTAAAATGACAAATATACAATATAGGTACCCATGGCTCCACTGTCAATCCCCAAAAGCCTTCCAGAAAAGCTATTTTTTAAATCAGTCTCTGAAAAGCCATGAGAGTGGTGGCCATCCTCACTTCAGGGGACAGATTGTTCCATTGGAGGGGAGATGCCACCTGCCATCAGGCCCCCTCTCACCACATCTCCTGGCAGGTGGGGACCCTTAGTATGCAAGAGAAGAATAAGATATTGCAACTGATTTATAAATATTTTCCCATCTGGAATATACCTTGGTAGTGGTAAAGGAGGGAGCAGAATAATTTCTAGGGGCCCCTTCATGTGACATGCTTTGCCATGTTAAGGATTTTGCCTCAATGGATCAATGCATCAAATGGATTTATTTTGCTTAAACAGACTGTGGTAGCTCTCTAAACCAGGTAAGCTAGTATGATGGTGATTTCATCTCTCGTAGGCTTGCTCGAACACTGGAATGTACTTTTTGACTGGATATAGTTAAAAGGTGTACGTCACTTTAAAGCTTGTTTTAGCTCTGTTACACCATACCCCCAACACAACTGGCTTTGCACTGTTCCTTCCACAGTATCAGGCTCAAGGCCCTGAACACTTTCATATAATCACACAAAACAAAACTATCATTAGCTCCAGGTTTCCTGAGTTCATCCTGTCTGTTACACGGTGACTTCATTTTTATTTATTTTTTAGAATTGCAAAAATATCATTTAATCAAGCTGAAATGCAAAGCCTTCTTTTTCAAGCAAACCGCCTTCTTTAAAACTACACTGGAGTTATCCTAATGTACAACAAACCATTATCTATAACATCCTAGCTTTTGTTCTCAGTTAAGCAAAGAAAAGGTTGCCACTAAGGAAAGAGACCAGTGAGGGAAAAAGAGGAGAAAAACACAACAGCAGGATACAAAACATCATGAGGAGTAAAGCCACATAACCATGAAAGAAAAAGTAAGCCAGGAACCCACAATAACTCCTGTCCCATTCACAAAGATGCCAGGGCTGGAAGAGGGGGCCAGCTAATCTATCCTAGAGGCAACTGAACATTTGACAGATCTAACCCAATAGCAAAAGGTCATCCAGTGAATGTCCTGGTTATTTTTACAGTTGTCAACCCATCACCAGCAATCTTTCATAAATGTCAGATATTATAAAATCTTCCCTCCTGACACATTCCCTTTGGAGCTGACACATCATTGACAAAATCCTATCGGAGAGATTTTATTTTTTTAATGTTTCTGCAAGACTATTCTCTCTGCCTAGAGCACAGAGCCCATCATCATCATCATCATCATCATCATCTGACTAATTCCTAACACATAAGTTTGTAACTATTAATCACCAATTCTCTGGTGTGATTTGCTATTTAAATTGCATCATGCTGGACAAATCCCTATGATGTAGTTAAGATTAAAAAAAAATAGCAGTTATGGTCTGTAACCAGAGAATCTTCCTCAATGAATTCAGATATATTTTCTTTCTTTGATTTATATGACCTGTAAGTCCTATAACTCATTCAACAAAACAGGGTTGAAACAAGGCATGACACAGCAAGTCTATGAACCCAGCCACTGACAGTATGGAATCTCATCAGATTTAAAATCATCAGGAAAAATCTCTATTTCAACCATCTCTGTAAGGTGCTTGATTATTAATAATACTCAAATATTTTAGATACCCAATGAGAGAGATAAGCCAAAATTGGTTATTCCATACCCTAATATGACCAATAACAGGCTTCAGATCATCCAGGTAATATTCTTCAATCGCATGAGGCTTGCCTTCCACTTGAAATACATAGGCTGGATACAATTTGTTGCAAACTGGTATTGCAAAATAGTTGGCAAACTCCTGACAGTCAATAGTTGCAGACATCAGAATTACCTTAAAAAACAAAAGCATACAAACAAGTTTTACAAGGTACATACCATGGATCAGCAAACTCTGATTGTCCAGAACATGTTTCCCTCTTGGACAAAGAGTTAGAATCATTTGAGTTTGCCAAGATCTCACATTATTTAAAAAAATATTGGGTTTACTTCTTGGAGTAGTCAAAGGCATATATGGACATGTATGTTGCTGATTTCTGCTGCAGAGTGTGAACTACAACAATAAAATACAATCCATCAGAACATAAGGATGGCATTCTGCTTCCCAGGGGCCAACCAGATTCTTCTGGGAAACTCATAAGAAGAACATTCATGCAATAGCCTTCTGCTGCTGTTTTCCTTGAACGCATGGTGTCACAGGAGGACTTCCAGGGAAGAGATGGCAAACTGAAGATGGCTCTTCTAAAAGCGGAGAGAACGACCATAGCTGGCAAGCAGACTGGCTCTTCCTAATTCCTCTCTGGACAAGGAGAGGACTTGAGATTACCCACAAGTGCTCCAGAGAGCTGCTCCTCATAAGGAGACCACAAGATAGCAGTCTCCAGCAGGTTTGGAGCTGTGGGAGATGAGGGAATAGCCAACTTGCTCAAACCACAGTCGGCGCCTTTAAGGACACTGAGTTCCCATATTTCCTTTTCTTATCGCTTTAGGAAATTGCTTGTTAACTGCTTTTTAGCTATTAGGAAGCTTTGGACTGACAAGTCTGAAAACACCAGGTGAGTTTCCTTCATTCCTTAGTGAAAGAAGTTTTAAATACAAGTTTAAGGATTAAAAAAAAAAATTTTTTTTTGGAATAAACAGCAAAAGGGTGATTAGAACTTTGATTTTGGAAGGTGGATTTGAGATAAGATTTTGGAATTATAAGAATCCTTCAGAAACGTCTCAGAAACTACCAACAGACTATTACAACCATATGGCATCTCCATAGCACACAAACCAACTAAAGCCCTCCAAAACATCTTAAGTAAACTAGCCCAAGAAGAAAAAACAGGAGTCATCTACAACATACAGTGTAAGGACTGTAACAACCACTATGCAGGACAGATAGGCAGAAGGCTGGCAGAGCGTATCCATGAACACAAACTAGCAGTCAGAAGACATGATGAAAACTCCTTACTCACAACACATGGACAGACTTAATCATAGTATCAACTGGGAAACTATCAGCATCTTAGACCAAGCTAAATCCAAAAATGCGAGGGAATTCTT